TATATATATATATAGATATACATATACTTATACATATATATGTATCTATATCTATATGTGTGTATACATTCCTGGACTGTTAGCTTCTTGAGGACAGACTACTTATTAATCTTCATATCTATATTGCTTTGCAGAGAACCCGACCCATACAGAATCTAAATAAATGTTATATGAATAAATAAGATGGTATACAAACCACAAAATTTAATTGAAAGTCATATAAAATTTTTTAATGTTAATCCAAGCATTTGAGATAAGAAATGAAAAATTTTATGCTCATAACCTTTTTTAACAACTTTCTTGAGATGTATTTTACATCATAAAATTAATACCATTTCAGGTATACAATGTAATGATTTTCGATAACTTTATCGAGTGATCTAATCATCACCATAAATCAGTTTTAGAACATTTTCTTTCACACATGCCTGCATAAGGTCCTTCATGACCATTTATAGTTCCCACTCCCAACCCAGGCAGCCACTAACCTACATTTCAGATCAATGGAATCATGCACTATGTGGTCTCCTGTGGCTGATTCCTTTTACTTAATTTATTGTTTTTGAGGTTCACTCATGGCATAGCATGTGTCAGCAGTTCCTTCCTTTTTATTACTGAATAACAGTTCATTATATGGATATACCTACTTAGAGTTTAGAGCTTTTAGAGTTTTTTAAATAACACACAACTACTTAATAAATGCAACATATAAACATGGTTCTACTCATTTAGTGAACGTTTGTTGAAAATTAAATGTGGCCTTAGTGATTAAAAAATATAAAGGTGACTTGAGACCCATATCTAGTCCTCAAGTAAACAGACAAACAAGCAATCATATAAATCATAGAGAAATTAAGTCCTATGTTGAAATATAAATATAGTAATGTTAGTGTAAAGAGGAAAGTATTTGTGGAAGTTTTTGATAATGCTTCTTAAAGAAAAGATCTTTGAACAAGATACATTCATTTTACTAGTCGGAGAATGGGAGAAGATGCCAATCTCTTTGAAAAGGATAATGTTTTTAAATTAATGCAAGTGTGAAAATACATATTTTATTCATGAAACAGCAAATTGTCCTGTGTTGCTGAAATGCAGGCCTCAAGGGGGCTGTTTTGGGTAGAAGATGGGGTGAGAAGTATTGCTTACTACCGAAAAAGAAGGCCTTGAATGCCATGCTGTTGAGTTCATCCTGATTCTGTGGATGGTAGGAAGGCATTCAAGGAGAATTATTTCAATTCTTTATTATGTCCAATTTAGGAAGGATAGAGGAAGGTGGAAGAGAAAGAGAAAGATACCAAAAGAAAGATAAAGATTCAACAAGTATTTATTGCATGCCTAATGCACTCTTTTGGGTGCTGATAATTCAGCAGAGGGCAAAAAAAAGTCCTTGCTTTAATGGAGCTGACATTCTAGTGAAGGGGACAAGCAATAACTCATTAAACAAATAACTATATCAGGGGTCTAGTAGTATCAAGAAAAGAAAATATTTAAAGCAGAGTAAACAAACAGGAAATGATGGGAGAGGGATGTGGAATTGAAATTTGGATTCAGACCCAAAAGCAATGAGGAATCAAGCCATGCAAATATCTGGGGAGAGTGTGTGATAGAGAATAGCAAGTGCCTGGAGTGTTTGAGAAACAACAGGGAGGCCAGTGTGGTTCTGTCTGGCTTATATTTTAAAATGATCACCCTGACAGCTGAGTGAACTATAGACTGTAACTTTGTATGTATTTCATGTGTTTGGGCTTATGTAGGGTTAATTCCTGGAAGTAGGATTGCTGGGTCGCGGGGTAAATACATTTGTAATTTTTATAGATATTGTGCAATTTCTATCCAGTCTCATAGCCACCAGCCAAGTTTGAGAGACCTGTTTCTTTACAGCCTCACCAACACTAAGAGTGAAGCTTTGGGGAGGTGGAAATT